CTATGTGAAAGTGCACCCGCTCGTTCGGTTGGGTATGCTCAACATCCTGACTAAAGTCATGTTAAGAGCCCTGAGGATGAGTCCTCTCCCAATTACGCTTCAGCGTACGGAAGTCATGCTTTGGCTCAATGTTCTTGGTATGAAGATGTTCGTATTTCTCGGACATCTTGGTAATGCTGGCGCGAAGGCGCTCGACCTCTACCTGGAGGTTGACATCTGTCGAAGGTTTCTTTCAGGAGGTATCCCCTTGAAGGGTATGGTGCTGAGTATCGTGGCTATCATCGGTCAGCATAGCGAAGTGTGGGGTAAAGAAGAGGCGGCAAGGCCTGATGGGAGAAGGAGCGAGTTGTGCTGGTAGAGAAAAGCGGGATTCAAAAGTCGATTTCCACATACGGCGCCAAACTGTTAATGGTCATTTTGGGAGGTCAACTTAAAGAGAAGTGGATAGTCTTCAGCAGGGGAGAAGGTGAGGACCTTCGGTAAGGGAAGAGCCTGCAGATGACAAAGTATGAGAAGCAGTCGTCAAGCTTCGGGCACCAGTGTAGTGCCGGCCGAAGGCTTTCCGATGCTTAAGTCAGCTATGAGTGGTAAATTTGGCAGAGTAACAGTAAATGTGAGAAAATAGTTACCCTTCTTACTTGGGTACTGCCCCCTATTTATAGGGAAGTAAAAGTGGGTGGTTTGCACAAAGTTTCGATGTGGGACTTTATGCAAGTTGCTGTGGTGGTGACACGTGTCCTTGGAGATTAGGTTTAGCAGCTGGGAGCTTTGGCAGTCGGGAGCTTCGGCAAGTGTTTGGCACCTCGGAAGGGTGTCTTTCTTCGGCAGGGGAGAAGGCTTGTCTGCCTTGGTGCTAGTCATTTTGATGCTGGATATGCTTGGTTAATTATGGTGTAAACATTAATGTAGATCATCCCTATTGTTACCATACCATGTAAATGCTTTCTTATTCGATCTGGAACTCTGCATGCCTTATGGATTTAAGAGCCCTAGAGATCGTGAAAATTTCCAAGTCAAAAGAATTCATAAATCAAAATTAAGTTGTTTACATGGCATAATCATATACAATGTTTACTTTGTTGACATTCATTTCCCTTATTATGTTTGAAATTTTACCTGTGGCTCCACATTAGAACTATAAGGATAGCCTACTTAACAATTGAAGTTTCCTTGTTTGCAGTGAACATTGCTCCTTTCATCATTCCTCTGCAGAAAAAAGATTCGACTCCTTATGCTTGATGTTCTTCCTTCAAGCAACTGATGATTTGGAGACCACTACCACTTTGCAATACTATGCAGACTTGATTTGCCCTGTTCTTTAAGAAACAATAATAAAATGTAGCTTTAGAGTTATGTGGGAGTGATTTTTCCCATGAGAATATTCGATTGGAAAGATTCCCATTTCTTCTTCGCCACTTCTTTCTCTCTGCAAAATAGATCGAATAAGAGGACCACACCCGGGGGTGTTGGCCAAAGGCCCTCTGATACCTAAATTAGTTCAATTGATTCATAGATAAAACAATAGCTAATAGGATACAGAGATGTGTTTATGGTGTAAACTGGGCGGCCGGAGCCTTATATAAAAGAAAGAGAGAGATAAGGTGGCTAGGGTTTGTGAGGGGAAGATCTCTATAGAGTTTTAGTAGTAATTCTGACGTACCTCAATCCTTGTGCGTAGTCAAGTATTTATAGGGGGCCTTGACGAGGTTGGTGAGGTTGGTGTATTTAAAGATTTGATTTAATCAAATCCCTAATTAAGGCAAGAATCAAATACACCCAACCTGAATTAAATAATCTCCCAATTAATTCAGGTAACTCCCAATTAATTGGGAATTATGGTAGGAATCAAATTAATTCTCAGCCTAATTAGGTAACGTTCAATTTAATTGGGCAATTCCCAATTAAATTGAGTAACTCCCAATTAAGTTGAATAATTCCCAATTAGGTCAAATAATTCCCAAATAGAAGGAATTATTTGATATAGGGTTCTGATTTAATTCGGTTTCCACATGACGCGTGGTGACATGTAGGAGATGTGATCTATTGGGAATACTTGTAGTTTAGTGTGACAAGAAACTAATGATTTGAATAATTATTTATTAGTGTGCAATGTTCTTTTGGTGATTTGGATGGAAAGGAACAGTTTAACTCAAAGCCAAAGTTGGGCAGTTTGTGGACTATTTATGAGATATGGCTAGACTTTGGGCCTCTCTATGGGCTTCAGTCTCATCTGTATCATGATTGCCCATTCTTTCTCTTAAATTTGGAAAGGGAAGCAAGCTGCTATATCGTAGTTGTCCTGATTGTAGTTTGGGCGTTTTCTGCATTGTTGGACGCTGTACTGTCATACTTTTCTTTTGGTTTCTTATAAATTGTAGGCTTCGTGCACTTTGATTGTACTTCCCATTCATATTAATTTGCTGGTTGAAGTCTGAAGTCTATTTTTACATAAAATTAATTATAACAACTATAAAAGAAAGATATCTAATAAAGTGATGAATTTTACATATTACATTGGACTACCCTGTTCTTGCTTAACTACGTTTTATTTAGAATTATATTTCTGTACACATTTGATGCATTGGATTAAGAATCTGTGACTGATGATTTTATTGTTATACTGATTATTCTGATATTCATTTTATTTGTTATGGAAGCTGGACATTTATACAGATTGTCCATTGAGTTTAAACTCCATGTGTATTGTTGCATACCTCTGTTTTTTGATTTGTATATATTAGGCAGTTGTTAGCAGCTCCTGACAAACTCAGTTTGTTTTCTTTTTTCTTTTTCTGGGTTTGATCTTAGAGCATTTTAGTTAAGGCTTGTCTGCCTTGGTGCTAGTCATTTTGATGCTGGATATGCTTGGTTAATTATGGTGTAAACATTAATGTAGATCATCCCTATTGTTACCATACCATGTAAATGCTTTCTTATTCGATCTGGAACTCTGCATGCCTTATGGATTTAAGAGCCCTAGAGATCGTGAAAATTTCCAAGTCAAAAGAATTCATAAATCAAAATTAAGTTGTTTACATGGCATAATCATATACAATGTTTACTTTGTTGACATTCATTTCCCTTATTATGTTTGAAATTTTACCTGTGGCTCCACATTAGAACTATAAGGATAGCCTACTTAACAATTGAAGTTTCCTTGTTTGCAGTGAACATTGCTCCTTTCATCATTCCTCTGCAGAAAAAAGATTCGACTCCTTATGCTTGATGTTCTTCCTTCAAGCAACTGATGATTTGGAGACCACTACCACTTTGCAATACTATGCAGACTTGATTTGCCCTGTTCTTTAAGAAACAATAATAAAATGTAGCTTTAGAGTTATGTGGGAGTGATTTTTCCCATGAGAATATTCGATTGGAAAGATTCCCATTTCTTCTTCGCCACTTCTTTCTCTCTGCAAAATAGATCGAATAAGAGGACCACACCCGGGGGTGTTGGCCAAAGGCCCTCTGATACCTAAATTAGTTCAATTGATTCATAGATAAAACAATAGCTAATAGGATACAGAGATGTGTTTATGGTGTAAACTGGGCGGCCGGAGCCTTATATAAAAGAAAGAGAGAGATAAGGTGGCTAGGGTTTGTGAGGGGAAGATCTCTATAGAGTTTTAGTAGTAATTCTGACGTACCTCAATCCTTGTGCGTAGTCAAGTATTTATAGGGGGCCTTGACGAGGTTGGTGAGGTTGGTGTATTTAAAGATTTGATTTAATCAAATCCCTAATTAAGGCAAGAATCAAATACACCCAACCTGAATTAAATAATCTCCCAATTAATTCAGGTAACTCCCAATTAATTGGGAATTATGGTAGGAATCAAATTAATTCTCAGCCTAATTAGGTAACGTTCAATTTAATTGGGCAATTCCCAATTAAATTGAGTAACTCCCAATTAAGTTGAATAATTCCCAATTAGGTCAAATAATTCCCAAATAGAAGGAATTATTTGATATAGGGTTCTGATTTAATTCGGTTTCCACATGACGCGTGGTGACATGTAGGAGATGTGATCTATTGGGAATACTTGTAGTTTAGTGTGACAAGAAACTAATGATTTGAATAATTATTTATTAGTGTGCAATGTTCTTTTGGTGATTTGGATGGAAAGGAACAGTTTAACTCAAAGCCAAAGTTGGGCAGTTTGTGGACTATTTATGAGATATGGCTAGACTTTGGGCCTCTCTATGGGCTTCAGTCTCATCTGTATCATGATTGCCCATTCTTTCTCTTAAATTTGGAAAGGGAAGCAAGCTGCTATATCGTAGTTGTCCTGATTGTAGTTTGGGCGTTTTCTGCATTGTTGGACGCTGTACTGTCATACTTTTCTTTTGGTTTCTTATAAATTGTAGGCTTCGTGCACTTTGATTGTACTTCCCATTCATATTAATTTGCTGGTTGAAGTCTGAAGTCTATTTTTACATAAAATTAATTATAACAACTATAAAAGAAAGATATCTAATAAAGTGATGAATTTTACATATTACATTGGACTACCCTGTTCTTGCTTAACTACGTTTTATTTAGAATTATATTTCTGTACACATTTGATGCATTGGATTAAGAATCTGTGACTGATGATTTTATTGTTATACTGATTATTCTGATATTCATTTTATTTGTTATGGAAGCTGGACATTTATACAGATTGTCCATTGAGTTTAAACTCCATGTGTATTGTTGCATACCTCTGTTTTTTGATTTGTATATATTAGGCAGTTGTTAGCAGCTCCTGACAAACTCAGTTTGTTTTCTTTTTTCTTTTTCTGGGTTTGATCTTAGAGCATTTTAGTTAATCTGTTGGTAACTACTGGATGCGGTTAAACTAAAGAAAAAGAACTAATATAAAAGTGAAGTAAAAAGAAATTAATGTAGGACAAGTGTAGAATAGGAAAGAGAAAGAACAAAATTAATTAAAAAATATAAAAAAGTAAAAGGGAATGTAAGTGAAAAAAAAAGGAGTGGGAAAATCAGATCCCTAAAACTAAACTAAAACCAAAATCCAATTTTCCTCAATAAAAAAAAACCCCATTATCCATTTCTTTTTCTCGTGAAGCAAATACAATAATATATTATCAGTCACCACCGTCTTGATGTTTTACTGCTTTAAAGTACTTTTGAGTCTGATTGATCCACAAGATCAGCTACCAGTCCACTGATATGTGGTGGAAGTGATCGGTTTACTACTAAGAATCAGCCATGGCTTCTTCTTTACCGGGTCAACTCGTTTTTCTCTTAGAGAATGGACATCATGTGTGGGAGGACCAATCTCTCATCAAGTGGAGGAAGAGAGATGCACATGTCCCTTTACGTTGCCATGATTCAATTGAAGGTGAGGAACTAAACCCATTTCAATTTCAGTTTCGTATTTGGATTAAGAGTGTTTTCATGTTGCTGGAAGTTTTGCTTTGTCTCACGTTGCCTTGTTAAATTTTGGTTAATGGAGTTTTTTGTTGCTGGAATTTTGTAAATGTTTGGGATATAAGTCTGTTTGATTCAGAATCACATTCAATCTTCAGACGAATGAAGAGTTCTATGAAGTGGGTTTATGATCGTGAATTAGGGGATTTCATGTGATAAAAATAATATGAAGTACTCATGTAATGCGAGTATATTATAAATGCATTTAGCTATTTTCTTTATTATAAATTTCAGGTTCTACATGCAATATTTATTGGAAATGATTTAGCAATGTCATTTAGATGTTTCGACTTTGCAAATTATACAAACACACATTGAATATATATAATAATTATGTATAAGCAAGCTCATCGATTGGCCTGACACATTTTGAATTTTTGTTGGAGTTTTGTTGCATTGGTTTTTGGTAAAAATGCATTTTCTTAAATATGAAGAGTGAATAGGGAAACATGTTATGCAGTTGTGAATATGTGTAGAATCTCACATTGTTCAGAAACTGCATCATGGTATGGTATATGAGCTTGAGCTTGACGTTGCATCTTGCCATCAAGATGAGCTTTTGGTATAGGAACATGGGACAGGAATCTTGTACCTATTCCCAAGCCTTGAAATCACGAAACATGGTCTACGTTATAGGCACATAGAGGGATTCTAATTGGTATAATGGTTTGGGTCCATGATGCGGAACCCCCCCTCTCTAAGTTCTGTGTGTTATTTTATCTTATCATTGGCTTGGAATCTTACTTCTTTTCTATTTCTTTTAGAAGATATCTGACATTCGTTATGTGGTGTAGGATCTCTTAAATACTGGTATGAGCGCAACAAAGTGAATTTTCTGGTATCCAACTCTGCTGTTTGGGATGATGATGCTGTTCCTGGAGCTCTTGATAGCGCGGCCCTTTGGGTCAAGGACTTGCCTTTTGTGAAGTCTTTGTCAGGCTATTGGAAATTCTTCTTGGCTTCCAGTCCTAGAAATGTTCCTGTAAATTTTTATGACACTGCATTTCAGGATTCTGAGTGGGAAACCTTGCCAGGTAAGCATATATGTATCTTTCACTTTTTCTTGCCTTAAAATCTGACAAACCTACACATATATATTTGGTATGCTGTGTTAGAATATAGCAGTGATAGTTGTTTCATAAAATCATTAATGAAATTTGTTTCATTGCAAAATATGTATCTATACCTGCATGCCAGAAACTTATTGCATCGTTTTACTTCAACTACGATTTTTCTCTATGCTGTTTCTTTATATATTCTTATTTGCAACAGTGTAGTATTGCATTCGAGGTAATTTTATGGCTAAGTGAGAGAATTTGAAAGGCATGTTTAGTAACGTGTATGAAATGTTTGGGTTATAATGAGGGGAATTTTTTATTTTTTATTTTTAGTTTTTTCTGTATTTCAGTTAGCTTATGTAAGAGTCAGCTTCACATGAGAGTTGGGATCCAATCTTAACTTCACTGTGGATTAGCTTCAAGGAAAGAAAGGGAAAAACTTCCATTTTATTGCTTATTGGCTACTGGTTATTCTCATAGAGGATTTTCACTATCATAAATTGGCCTTTTATTTTACTATTCGTTTTCTTTAAAGAGAGATACGCATATGCGTTAGCGAAACTGTTCAGTAAGTGCCGCTCACAAATAAGTCAGTTCTTTCCAGATAATAAATTGTGCTTTGAACTATAGGCGCTAACTGAAGCTTGTATAATTGTGAAAATTCTTTTCTAAGTGCTTGTACTATGATTTCATGATTCCGTATTTATTTTATTTTGTTCTCCAAAATAGACAATTTAAGAATACTTTGATAACCTTATTCCTTGTAGTGTTTTGAGCTTTAGCAATAGCATATGGAACAAATTTATGAATGATTTATGTTATAAATTTATCATGATTTTTCATATCTAACACATGCAATTATTATCCAACGACCGTGTCTCATTATTTTGTGTTCTCTCATGGAACAGTTCCTTCAAACTGGCAGATGCATGGATTTGATCGGCCTATTTATACAAACGTTGTTTATCCATTTCCACTTGATCCACCTTCTGTTCCTGTGGACAACCCTACTGGCTGCTATAGGACATACTTTCACATTCCTAAAGAATGGAAGGGTATGATCCATTTGATTGCCTTGCTGATTGTAGCTGATTACTATTTATTGGAGCTTTTTTATTCTTTTGTTTTTATTTTTCTTTGTTGTTCCCTTTTACATTATGCTTACTGATCAGTATTCTATCAAACCTGTGCTACTTATATCTCGTATACATCGAAGTAAGTTTTATTTTCCACTTTGTAATGTAACCATTTTGAAATGTAATATGTAGCGCAATTTGACCTGAATTTGTGTTAATGATTTGAAATGTGGCTAATAGAAGTATTGCCTCACAGATTGGATTTTCTGCTATATGTACGTACGAATGCATGCATGCACCTATATTACAGTCACAGACACACACACACACACAAAAATGACATTTCCATGACATCCCTCAACTCTGTTGATCATTCTTTCTGTGGGAAAAATTTATATGACATGTTTACCATTTGACAGGTCGCAGGATTTTGTTGCATTTTGAAGCTGTTGATTCTGCATTCTGTGCATGGCTAAATGGGGTCCTGATAGGATATAGGTAATAAATACTTGTAAGAACTTTTGTGAATTATCATAATTATCCTGTAGGTGGATGCTTTTATGCTATACCCTATGTCATACTTCCATTCAGGGAGTCTTCTCTGCGTGTGTTACTGTTTTCTGAACATATGCATTTTACATGGAATTTATCTCAGTCAGGTATATGTTGACAGATTAAGATTGCGCACATTTGTGAATAAGAGATACAGGGAGTGAGTTTAAGATGCTCATGGAGGATCTTCTTTTGCAATCTACTATTTTTCACTTTTCTCTTTCGCAACATACAAATTAAAAGTTAAATATAAAATGCAAAAAGAGAGAGTAACCCACATGGAATATAAAGAACATAAAGTCCCCAACTCTTAAAGCTGAGTATGGATACTGTTTTGTTGCTGATAAATAATTTATCAAGTAAATAGAATAATGTATATCGTGCTGAGAGTCTTTTGCTACCATATGGTTTAGCAAGAAAAGGGGCATTTAATTGTTAATAACTTAAAAATGAAGCATGGTGAGTATGACTGAGTTATACTAATTACCAATCTTTGAACATAGCTTCCTTTTTTTTTTTCTTTCCCTTTTTTCTGTTAATGTATTGTTTATCATACCAAGAATATGTATTAGCCTTGAAAGGAACTTTGTTTAATAAATGGTCCAGCCGCTGAATGATCTGACTTAAATATTTTGTTTCTTTTTGGTGGTGGGGAAATTCTTGGGAAGTTTCATTTTGAATTATTTGATGGTTGTTTAATCAGTTAGGAATTCGGATGTTAGTAGAGTCTTGTTTACTTTTTCACAAGTAGAAAATGAATCCTAAGCATTTGAGATGGTCATATGTGCCCTTGTCGGTTTTGTAACCGTATCACCGAGTACATACAACTATATCAAATTGAAGATTGTTTTCCACTTATAAGGGATGCATGGTTTGGTCGGAATCCCCTGTGAGATACGTTAACAAACTTTTCAATATCGTGCTAGGTCAGTCAGGACAGTAGACTTACTGCTGAATTTGAAATCACTGATTATTGTTATCCATCTGATATGGACAAGAAAAATGTACTAGCTGTTCAAGTATTCAGATGGAGTGATGGCTCCTACCTTGAAGATCAAGATCATTGGTGGTTATCTGGCATTCATCGTGACGTGCTTCTTCTTTCCAAGCCACAGGTCTTTATTGTCTTCTTTCTTGCCTTTGTATCCTCTCTTTTAATTACAATTGGTACTTCTTGGAATTAGTACATAGTTGGTGACTGGGGACAAGCATGTATACATTGATGATTTGCATGGCTACTTTTCTATCATAAGATCACTCCATCTCTTTGCAAGTCATTATTGTTCTTCCTTTCCCATTTTGCAAAATCGACACATTGGAGGCAAAGAATTAGGACAGTTAATGCTATATGGAAATCTGACCTAGTTCTTCAATGTTCTAAGCCATATTTTATTTTGATTACACATATAGATTATCTAAATTATTTCCTTATTCTTTAACGTAAACTGGTAATGTGCTGCTACCTGTACTGGAGCATTGCATAATATTAAATCCTAAAAAATAACTGATGTGCAGGTATTCATTGCAGACTACTTTTTCAAATCAACTCTGGCTGAGGATTTTTCGTATGCAGACATACAGGCAAGTATTTATCAATCGAGGATGGATCTTTTTGTTTTTACAAAGTATTAAGTACAAACAATATTTTGCAGTTTTGTCTAGATGGTTGACCTCTTGCACATAACTGGACAATAATTTGTAACCCATTGAATCATATGATAAACTCCAAAAACAATAAAGGATACAGGAAATGTCTAATGTGCTTAGGTTAGAGAAATTCCTGTCTGTTAATGGTTTTTATTCATACTATCTGATTATATGTGCATGTGCTCACTTTTTTTCTTCTTTTGAGTATCGCAGTGTCTGTTAATGTAGACTGTCATTGATTTATCAGTCAAGATTTTGGAATCTACCCTTGTATCAATGTGCAATATGATGAGATTATGTTCTCTTCTCAGTGCTATTGCCCTACATTGAAAACATTTTAAAATATTGTTGTCTTGCACTTTTGACCAGGTTGAAGTGAAAATAGATAACTCCAGAGAAACATCTAAAGATAGCGTTCTTGCAAACTATGTTATAGAAGCTGCATTATTTGACACTGCGTGCTGGTACAGCATTGATAGATATGCTGACCTGCACTTGTCCAATGTGGCTAGTATAAAGCTTAATCTCTCATCCAGCACGAGTCTGGGGTTTCATGGTTATTGGCTGGTAGGGAGACTGGACATGCCGAGGCTTTGGTCTGCAGAGCAAGTGAGGAATTATTATTTTTTGTTTCTTCCTAGTTTGTTCCTAAGCTAAAACCCTTTTAAGCAATATATACTTTCTTGCTTATTGATATTCTCAACTTTGTTGAGTCATTGGAGTTACCAAAAATGTCTGTCAAGTGCTGGAAGTACCCTGGCACTGGGAATTTTTTAGGGTGCTGCACCGTTTAACCTAATGTGTATGTTTGTGTGTGCTGCACCGTTCTGTTTATTAACTTAGTTTGCTTTTCTCTTCTAGACATGTGGGAAAAATTGGTCAACTGTAAATATCATATCTTGTTAAATTATAACAGTCTAAGAGTAATTAGATTTTTCTCATTCATATGACTCCAGAGTTTGTGAAAATTTCTTTTAACTTAAATTTAATGCCTTAAAAGACCATGGTTGAGTCTTCTTTCTACCTTGAGCTTCAATGGGGTGATATTGTGAATACTACGTAGGTGACTACAAACTTTCCCCCTTACCTAAGCATTAGCTAGGGTTAAGGGTTAGTCACGTCATGTTGAAAGTATGGCTTTGGTACTTTCTTGCTCCATTTAAGCATAAAGTAGATGGATGACTCAAGCATAATAGTAAGAAAAGATGTTTTGAGAAAAACAAAAAATATACATTAGATAAATCATGATATGAAACTAAAAGTTTTGTAGCCCCAATAACAAGAAGTATCTAAAACCTTGCATTGTACATTTGGTGGTATTTTTTTTTTTCTTTTTCCTTCTTATGGGCAAACGCTAAAGCATTGTACATTAGCTTAGGAAAAGAATATTAAAGTATTCAATCATATGGTTTATTATCACTATGTAACACAGTGTTCTCGGTTATTAATTAGATGTTTTTATCTTCTCATCTTTCATATAAGATCAAACGGTTTCATGATGATGATTCGTTTCCCAGAGTTTGTGTTACAGTATTTGCTTTTGAACTCTTTTCCTGTGTCCAACATACATATTTCATAACTGATTGTTTACCGTGTGCAGCCAAGCCTGTACACTCTTGCTGTTTCATTGAAAGATGCATCTGGCAACCTTCTGGACTGTGAATCATGCCTAGTAGGCATACGGCAAGTATCAAAAGCCCCCAAACAGCTGCTTGTTAATGGGCATCCAATAATAATAAGGGGTGTGAACAGGCATGAGCATCATCCACGTCTGGGGAAGACAAACATAGAATCCTGCATGGTTAAGGTAACACATACTTTACTTCTCCTTGTCTGTTCTCTGCTAGCCAAGTTGATTTGCAACTGGAGTTGATGGTTCTTGGAATTTTAATCACTATTCTGTGTACAGGATTTGGTTTTAATGAAGCAATACAATATCAATGCTGTGAGAAACAGTCATTATCCCCAACATCCTCGTTGGTACGAGCTCTGTGATTTGTTTGGCATGTACATGATAGATGAAGCCAACCTTGAAACCCATGGTTTTGATCTTTCTGGGCATGTGAAGCATCCTACTTTGGAACCCAGCTGGGCTACTGCAATGATGGACCGTGTGATAGGCATGGTTGAGAGAGACAAAAATCATGCTTGCATTATCTCTTGGTCCTTAGGGAATGAAGCTGGATATGGACCTAATCATTCTGCTTTAGCTGGTAAACCGCTGTTCTTTTATCATATCCATATTTTTGTCCAGCTTTGAAGGAACTTTTAGAAAATGTTATTACTTTGTACTTGTTCGAGAATTATTGCTTCACCTCGACATATTTCTCCTAGAAGATATATTCATTTTACAGAAGTAGACAATGGGAATCATTTTATGGCTTTAGTAAGTTACCTTGAAATGATGGTGATGGATTTGGGTTCAAAATTTTGAAAATAAGGAAATGTGGTCAGAACTGGCGTTCATCTGGGAATGGGCCTTACTTTAGGGAAAGTGAATATTTTCGAAAGAAAGAAGCCTGCACTCTAATTTTGAGTAATTGATATATAATTAATTATACTAAAGTTGAGTAAGTAAGTTAACATCACCTTTTTCTATAAGTTGGGCAATATTCTGTCTTTGTATTTTATTTTTCATTTTTTAAAATGTTAGTGTTTCTTATGAAAAATAATAATTATTATTATGATCACCCTCAAAATTTTGAACGGTATAATTGAAGTTGCATGTAAGGCATCTCTTCCCCCCCCGGTTTCATATCACTCATGGTTTTGAAGACTTGTTCACCTGAATTCAGGCTGGGTTCGTGGAAAGGATCCCTCACGGCTGGTACATTACGAAGGGGGTGGATCCAGAACCTCATCCACAGATATTGTATGTCCCATGTATATGCGGGTCTGGGACATGTTGAAGATTTCGAGTGATCCAAATGAAACACGCCCTTTGATATTGTGCGAGTATGTAAATTTTTTCACTCTTCCCTTTTTGTTATAGTTTGAGCATAGTTTGTTGGTTTACCATTATTCCCAATGTTCGAAGATGAGTCAAATGTTATTTATATTCTGGCACTTCTCACCTTGGGCCCCTCCACCAATAGAGTCCAACATGCGAAATTCAACTTATATAGGGAGGTTGCAACCAATCCAAAAAAAAAAAGGGAGGTTGCAGTTTTTGCTCTACACCTTTATCAGGATCTCTTGCTCTTACCATGCAAAAGTTTGTTGCTTTGCCGCTGCTCCCAAATTCTTAAGCTATTAGAATTTGGGCCAAATGTATTCTAAACTGCTAATTTATTTTGTAAAGTTATACAAGATACCTCTGTTTATGCTCATGGCAATGCAAATTTCTTCACTTAAAAGTTTGAGAAAATAATGGCAGGGATTCACATGCAATGGGAAACAGCAATGGGAATTTACATGAATATTGGGAAGTAATTGATAGCACATTTGGTCTTCAAGGAGGCTTTATCTGGGAATGGGTTGATCAGGTCAAGTATCCTTGCTGTTCATAAGAAATGCACTGATGATTTATCAACATTACATTAAATATTGAGTTTCAAGCCATCTTACACTCTTGAAACCCCTTTACTACCAACCACCAACCCCTAACCTCTCTCTCTCTCTCTCTCTCTCTCTCTTTTCTTCTCCCTCCTCTTCTTCTTCTCCTCTCTTTGTTGTTCAGAACCAGAAATTACATCAGGGGGTAATAGATTTTCTCTTTGTATATAGGCCCTGTTGAAGGATAATGCAGATGGTAGTAAGCATTGGGCATATGGGGGTGACTTTGGTGATGTTCCTAATGATTTAAACTTCTGTTTGAATGGCCTTACATGGCCAGATCGAACTCCTCATCCAGCACTGCATGGTAAGTTGATGATTTATGTTATACTTACAAGTACCTCTGTCCTTTGAGTTCTTTAAGATAATATTTGTATGTCATTTTTCAATTTATTTTCATGTCTCATTTCTTCGGTTATTGTTTTCAGAAGTCAAGTATGTGTACCAACCAATCAAGGTTTCATTTAGCGAAGAAACACTAAGGGTAAGTTTCACATAGTATTTGCTTTCATTTTATTTTATTATTTTCCGGAATACTTATTTACCTGAAATATACCTTGCAGATAACAAATACCCACTTTTATAAAACAACACAAGGATTGGAGTTCAGCTGGGATGTTCATGGGGATGGATGCAAACTTGGATCCGGAATTCTACCTTTTCCGTTGATTGAACCTCAGAAGAGTTATGATATTAAGTGGCGGTCAGCTCTGTGGTATCCTCTATGGACTTCGTCATCTGCAGAGGAATATTTTTTAACAATAACAGCTAAGCTTTTGCGTTCCACACGCTGGGTTGAAGCTGGTCATGTTATCTCATCTACCCAAGTCCAGTTGCCTTCCAAAAGAGAGATTGTTCCTCATGTAGTTGCTTTTGCTTAATACCCACTTTGACAATAAGAATGAAGTTTACATGTTTTGTCATATAAAAACATTTTTACAATTGGCCTTGATTTCCAGGTCATCAAGACTGAAGATGCTGTGTTTGTCAGTGAAACTCTTGGGGATAAAATTAGAGTCAGCCGAGATAGCTTTTGGGAGATCATATTTAGTGTTCAAACGGGAACAGTTGACAGCTGGACGGTATTTTACACCATTGTTATTTACATTTTTTTTGTTGATAACAAATTTTTCTTTATAAAACCAAAGTTATTTTAAGAATGATTTCCCTCCAGGTTTTATGATTGTAGTTGCCTGGTTATTGTTCTATTTTCTGTTGGGATAAGCATTGTATGATTTTTCCTTTTTGTTCCTAAGGATGTTCCGTCTCCTGTAGATTGAGGGTTGCTTATTTGTTGACGACCGAACCTCTTTGATTGTACTTCTCAATTTCATTAATACTCATTCTGTTTCCTATTTAAAAAAATGGTAGGTCGAAGGAGTCCCTTTGATGACGAAAGGCATATTTCCATGCTTCTGGCGAGCACCAACAGATAATGACAAAGGAGGAGGTGCCAGTAGTTATTTCTCCTTATGGAAAGCTGCTCATATTGATAACCTTCATTATATTACCCAAAGCTGTTCTATACAGAATAAGACGGACCATCTTGTGAAAATAGCTGTGGCTTTTCTTGGTGTTCCAAAGGAGGAGGGTGCTAAGAGGAAAAAGATTAAAATTGAAGTTGATGTGATTTACACAATTTATGGTTCAGGAGACGTTGTTGTTGAATGTAATGTAAGACCAAGTTCGAACCTTCGACTTCTGCCACGTGTGGGAGTTGAGTTCCATTTGGATAAGTCAATGGATCAGATTAAGTGGTATGGAAGAGGACCATTTGAATGTTATCCAGACAGAAAAGCAGCTGCTCATGTTGCGGTCTATGAGCAGAAAGTGGATGACATGCATGTCCCTTATATAGTTCCTGGGGAATGTTCAGGTAGGGCAGATGTTAGATGGGTGACATTCCAAAACAAGGATGGTTTCGGAATATATGCATCAGTGTATGGCAGCTCTACGCCTATGCAACTAAATGCAAGTTACTACACCACAGCTGAGCTTGATCGGGCAACGCATAATGAAGATCTTATCAAAGGAGATGACATTGAGGTAATTTCTTCTACATCATCAATCCATATCTTTCATTTCAGTACCAGTAGATTGTTTCTGGACATCCATTATGAGTAATATACAGAGGATGGTTTATGGTTTAGGGTCTAGGGTTTATGGTTTACTGTGTTACAGGTTCATCTTGATCACAAGCACATGGGCCTGGCTGGGGATGATAGTTGGTCGCCCTGCGTCCACGACGAGTATCTGGTTCATGCTGTTCCATACTCATTTTCAATTAGGCTGTGCCCGATAACCCCTGCAACCTCTGGCCAAGCCGTGTACAAAACTCAACTTCAAAACTAGTAGACATGATGGGCTCAAGAACTTGGTAATGAGTACCGAGTGATTGACAATGTATGTGGCCATGAAATAAGATGTCTAAGCTTATTTGCAACGAATAATATAAAGGCAAAACATATCAGTCTGTAATATTCTGATTATGAAACATTTGTATTTAATAGTGCTTTTGTCTGAAGCATTTTAGTGGTGGATCATGCCTACTACAATCAATCTAAGCAATTTAGTACTTTCCCTCCTATTTGTCACTTTACTTAACTAGTATACGCGGCGGGTTCTTATTTTAGTTGAATTCTTCCCATAATAAGAATGCGACCGCATTCCTATGGACGTGGCAACTTCATGAGATTAGCCATCATTGCATATGTGATTTTGTAACTTTTTCCATTTAGAATCGAAGCAAGTTTTGGTATAATTTTAGGGATTCCGAGACTTTGCATTTAGAGGTTGTGCATTTTCCCCATTTCATTAAATCCAAACCATTCTAATAATCAAACATCTTAACATGACACCTCATTTCCCCTCCAAAGCTCACGCGTTAAACTGACCTTTAACGTTAACATCAGTTTTTGAGCGTTGTCCTTCAGTGTTGAAACCGTGATCGATCAGGAGCAAATACCATCAACGAATAATTGTTGAATCCATTCACGATTATCCAGATGCTTGTTTCTTTCGTTTTAGTGAAGCCACTGATGGTGTCAAGTCATTGATTCCAAAACATTAGGTTGTTATAAGCCAAGGTGGAGCAGACATACCTAATATAATCAAAACAAGCCTTGATTATAAAGGACGTATGTCAAATTGGTAGCATGTAATATACATATATATATATATGTGGTTATGATTCTATGAACAAAATATAATGATAATCGTATCTCTGCATATAAGATGGTGCGAATCACAACCATTAAAAATTGAAGGCCCCATATAGCAAGGCAGTGAAGAAAACCCAGAGGAGAAAGTACCCAAAACCATTCAAAATTGAAGATCCCAGATCAGGGCAATACTGAAGCACAAAATTTCAGGGGCCAAGAAAGAAAGAAACATGCTCAAACTGACGTTAACGTGTGTGAGTTTTGGGGAAAAAAAAAAACAGTAACTCCAAGTTTAATGACGTGCCATGTTTTAAGACGTTAGATTATGAGAATGGTTTGGACACATGACCCATCCCGAATTCTCCATTAGAACCTGTGACAGGGTGCAAAGAGCAAATATTGGGGTGCCAATAAAATCACCTTTTTTTTTTCTTTGCTTTGTTTCGTCGTTCGGAATGGATATGAAATGACTATATGCAATGAATCATTTGAAATTCATTTGATTTTCATTTCATTGTTATTCAAATATTGGCATAGTAATCTAAACAAATGATTTTGACATTGTAATGTCATCTAAATTGGAGATGCCTATCTACCTTAAATCGTGTTCAAGGTGAGACTAGTCTTCTCTTTCTTCCTGTCTGCTGGTTCCACACTAGTGTGAACTTATGAACTCTTGCATGTAGCCTTCCTCTGCGCTAATGGCATATTTCCCTTCATCAAAGTTGTTTATCTATGTCGTGGCTCTAATATGCTAAAATTTAAACTTTATCCAAGAAGTATAGCCATCTTAAGACGTGTCTAAGTGTAACCTCTTCATCCTTGTCTGCTTTGTTAATGTAGGCTCAAATTCTATCTTGCATGTCGATTTCCCTTGCTCATATGAGAAAGTTCATGACGAAAGTTGTTGAGAATTTTGTAGTCTACAACATATCCAAAATTCGTAGTCATCCAGCAAGTTTATCCCTCTTGAAAGTCGTACAAGCTTAAACAAGCTTCTTTGTTGCCAATTGTTGTTTTGGTGGTTGTTCTCCTTGGGAGGTGAATTGAGGATTTCAGACCAATTCAAAGGAGTGAGGTAAATATTTAAGATGTTTGATTTATGGAAATTTGTTTTAGAGGTTATATTTTTGAGGTTTTGTAGATTGTTGAGTTGTTCCAAACTTAAGTAGAATTGTGAATTTTTAGGAATGTCTAGATCGAACTCGTGCGCCACTTTGTGGTAGCCTTTTGAGTTCTAAATACTCACCACATCGTCCTGAGCATGAGGTATGCTCGGATTATTGTTTAATTATCGAACGGATATTGCGCCTACTATGCGATATCTGGATTCGATAGGTTCGGATCATTTGATCGGTTCATTTTCAATTAGGATCGTGTAGGAACTTACGAAGTGAGAATTGAAGTTTCGGATCCTCTGAATCACTAATTTTAGGATTAGGCAAACCGATTGTGCGATTGGTTTAGATTTGACTGCTTGATCAAGACCAAATCCTCGGGACATATTTAGTAGCCCTTGCCGGACCCTTAGGAACTTCCTTAAAGGTTGTACACACACTTTGAGTCCCGAATTAGGATTTTAAGTTAAAGTTTATGGTTGGATACTTTTATTGATTAAGTCTCATTGTTCTTTCAAATAGGTACTCAAGCTTCACGTACTCCACAAGAGAGACATTCTCAGGGTTGAGCAGCTCTGGACTTGTTATGAGTAGACATTGTTTTAAATGAGCATTATTTTTCGAATATGGATTTGCATGCATAAATGAGATTTGATTTAGAACTTGATTTATTTGGTTTATTGGGATTATGGAATTTGATATATGTTTTAACTATGACTTTATAGTATCTTATGGGATTACTAGAACTTATTGTTAGTTATAAAGTAAATGGATTTTGGGTTTTGGATTATGATTTTATCGGCATGTGTATGGATTTGATTATTGTGAATTTGAGAATATGGATTTCGGAGATGATTATTGGAAATTGGATATATTTTTTTTGTTTTTTGTTTTTTTGGGAATTGGTACATAGTGTTGGGCTATGATTTTGGAATATTGGTTTAGGCATATCATGTATTAATTGCACTATTATATGTACCTCCCATGTTACTGGATACTTGGATACATTCGACACGCGATAACTCTTCATACGTGTGTCGGGATCTGGGCACCCTTGCAGGGATGTGCTGCAGGCCCTTGGCGGGGCAGTCTACAAGCGTATGACAGGATTTAACCTCACAGTGATGCGATTTTGCTGTGTGTGTTGGGGAGCAATAGTCCCCCAATTGGACTGCTCGTCTGTAGTCATAAGGTAATGCGTTTCTATCCTATATCTAGTCAAAACAGTCCTCGTGTTGGATTGTTTCCCTTGGTACTTGTTGCTGATGTAGTGACATACATACATACATTTTTATACTTATATATTTATAAGGCACTTTCTTTGTATATTGTGTTTTTACAAGCATATGTCTAGGAAAGGGGTTGGCTAAGGGAAAAAGGTCCTGTTTGATGATTATATTCTATGCCATATCAAGTTTATGGGATTACAATGATTTTAAATTCAAGTATAATGGATTTTATTGCATGGTTTTATATTTTTTTCATAAAACGGTGGGGTTAGTACGTTTGATCATAACTATTTTCAAACTTTATTTTTGTCCACTCACAATTTCTACATTGCTCCCCTCAGGCCGTAGTTTGACGTGACTTGTGAATCCAAGTCACTCTTCCCGCACTTCTGACTTCAATCGTAGGACTTTTATGTTGTTTATTTCCTTTGAAAATTACTTTGGTTGTGTAATTAAGAATTTCTTATATTGCTCTGATATTGTCCATGGAGGGTAGAAATTGAGGTCGGATGCCTATTTTATGAACTGTGTGCTTTAGTATTGTGTGTGCTGCCAGTTGAGATATTTAATGTGTTGTTTTTACTAGTGTAAAATTTTAGGATTTATTCGTTTTTCAGGAGAGACTGCAGAAATTTTAGTAGAAGTCTGGACTCTTTTTCTGTTTTTGTTGTTGTTGTTCATGGAAGAGAGTTATTTTAGTAAGTGGGCCCGACATTGGTTAGATGTTGGACAGGCAACAGGGTTCGTCACAGGTTCCAATGGAAAATTCGAGAGGGGTCTTGTCACCAAACCATTCTAATAATCTAATGTCTTAAAACATGGCACGTCATTAAACTTGGAGTTATTGTTTTTTTTTTTTTTTTCCCTAAAACTCAAACACGTTAACGTCAGTTTGAGCATGTTTCTTTCTCTCTTGGCTCCTGAAATTTTGTGCTTCAGGATTGCCCTGATCTGGGATCTTCAAGTTTGAATGGTTTTGGGTGCTCTCTCCTCTGGGTTTGCTTCACTGCCTTGCTATATGGGGCCTTCAATTTTTAATGGTTGTGGTTCGCACCCTCTTATATGCAGAGATACGATTATCATTATATTTTGTTCATAGAATCATAACCACATATATATGTATATTACATTATACCAATTTGACAAACGTCCTTTATAATCAAGCTTGTTTTGATTATATTAGGTTTGTCTGCTCTACCTTGGCCTATAACAACCTAATGTTTTGGAATCAATAACTTGACACCATCAGTGGCTTCACTAAAACCAAAGAAACAATCATCTGGATAATCGTGAATGGATTCAACAATTATTCGTTGATGGTATTTGCTCCTGATCGATAGACAACGCTCAAAAACTGATGTTAACGTTAAAGATCAGTTTAACGCGTGAGCTTTGGAGAAAAAAAAAACACCCTCCCCTAAAATTATACCAAAACTTGCTTCAATTCTAAATGGAAAAAGTTACAAAATAAGAAGAAGCTTACGCAGGCAGCCTGCCTTGCGCGCGTGCGCTGGTTCCTTTTTTGTTTTTTAAACTGCCTGGCCAAAATGACGCCGTTTTGGTCCAAGCGTGTTAATTTTTTTTTTAAAAACCTGCCTTCAAAACGACGTCGTTTTGAGCCAGGTTTTTCAAAAAACCAGAAAACCCCATCAGCAGCCCTATCTACCCGATTCTAATCCCCGCCCCAGCAGCAGCAATTCATTGATTTTCTGCGTCCGCCACTGTTTGAGAAAGCTGGTTTGTGGATGTAGATAACCAGTTGAATATAATTCGGCCAAGCCTTGGTGGTGTTTTTAAGTATGGCTTTGTCGGTATCCAGAAGGCTTTTACGCTCATTTGGCTCCGTCTTAGCATCGGGCCGCTGTGACTCTCCAAGTAGTTTATATCCATCACTTCATGCTTCTCTTGGTGAGGACGTGCATACTTTTGTTGTAAGCTTTTTGTTATTTGACTTGTATGATCGGAACATTTTGTGGCATTGCAAAATATTAATTTTTTTCTACCTTTATTTTGGTCCTTGAACCGATTTGTGCGGCCTTGTTCCAGGGGTTGTCTCTCCTGAAGAATTCTCAGCTGTTTCCAAGGTATTATTGCATCATATCTACTATCAAATGAACCAGTGCAGCATGTTCATGTACATGGTGATTTATTGGATGCTTAGCTTTCTGTGGAAACATAGTAATGAACTCATATTATATTGTATCTCAATATAGGCTGGATCGTCTTTTCTAGCCAATCGAAGGCTTTCAACTTCTATCCCATCTCCAGAATCAAGTGGAGGAGCATTTCCCTCTAATTTATTGTCTGCAAAGCCTGTGGTCGCTTCAGAGCGTAATATAGGTACGAGGAAAGGTCAAAACCATATATATCTTATAATATTGATGAAAAAAAAAAACCCCCCAAAACGTCTATCAAATGAGCATAACATTATATAGCTTAAAACCATAACCATATGATCTTATACAATAAGATACAATGGGTAACATTCATTTATGGATGAAACTCATTCGTTAAGACTTAAAACCCATTGAAAATAGTAAGTCAAAACACAGGCCAGGCAAGTGTAGGTATGCAGCAATTGTTAGTTTGTGGTAAAGCTTATTTATTACTTTACTGGGTTTACATTATAAACCAGTTGTCGGGATGTTTTATTAATGTTATCTATAAGAAATAAATGTGTAGGACTGTTTTAATGATTTTGTGTGTTGTGATATAGGACTCTATCAAGACCTTGTAATTCCAGTGACAAATTTTCATAATGAAGATAAAGGCTTCACAGTTTTGGCTGGTGATGTTTTTGATGTACCTATTAGGAAGGATATCATTCATCGGGTTGTACTGTGGCAGCTAGCAAAACGGCAACAGGTATTGACTTATCTATAAATTTAAGCATTAACACTAAATGATGGCTTAGCAATATTGCATTCTGTTCCTGAACATTTATAAAAAAGAGAAAGGCCGCTATGCCACTTGGAAGTTGGAAGTACAGAGTCTTTCATTTAGTGTGATTTTTTGTTTTGGTTGGGGAATGTGGGGGAGCATTTGCTGAAAAAGCTTCTGGATTGCATACATAGTAAATTGGATAAAAAAAAGAAAAAGAAAAAGGAAGGGGATAAGTATATGGGTTCTTGCATAAGAGGAACTAAATTGATCAATAACTTTTCTATATTTTATTTTCACATGTCATTTGTTTTGAAATTCTTGTCATCCATGTTTAGAATTTTCATACTTTTGGTGGTCTAATGACCACTGAAATGATATTGGTGAGACTCTATGCACAAGTGAATTTGGGAAAGAAGATAAAAAAAGCTTACGCTTGTTGAGTGGTCTACAGGGAACACATTCAACAAAAACTATTAGTGAGGTTAGTGGGACTGGGAGAAAACCATGGAATCAGAAGGGTACTGGTAGAGCGAGGCAGGGATCATTGCGTAGTCCCCAGGTAATGATTTATCATGTTTTGAAATTAGTATGTTTCTAGATTTTCATTCAAAGTCTGCCTTTAAGATGCTTTTGCATAATGAATATAATGGGTGTTAACAGTTCAGAGGAGGTTCCACAATGCATGGTCCTAAGCCACGAAGCCATGCTTTTAAGCTGAATAAGAAGGTCCGGCGTCTAGGGCTAAAGATTGCTCTGACAGCTAGAGCAGCAGAGGGAAAGGCAACTCTCTCTCTCTCTCTCTCTGCTATGTTTGGATTTTGTTATGAAATAGGTTGAGTTATTTTAATTAAATATTTAAACTTTTATGTTTTATATGGAACTTAACTAGAGAAACTGTATGAAACTACAGCTTCTAATTTTTGATGATTTTGAGGTCCCCACACATAAAACCAAGAATATAGCGAACTACGTCCAGCAAATGGAGGACTCCAAGAAACTTCTGCTGGTGGATGGTTTCTTACCTGAAAAGCTCAAGTTGGCTACACAAAATTTACATTATGTGAACGTGCTGCCCGCAGTAGTGAGTTGCTCTTTGTGACCCTTAATAAGTGTTTGTATTATAGCTAGCAAACTATATGCAGCCTGAGATGCCATTCCACATGGACACATTGTTCCGAATCCAGTGAGCTTCTTTATCCATCAGCAATGGCTTAGAGTAGAAATTATTGACAAAAGCTTTTACATTGTCGAGCATGTTTGATTCACAAGAACTAAAACCTCTCTCTTTCTATCTCCTGATATTCGTGATACTGTTGCTCAGCTTTCGCTGTGGTCACCATATATAAGAACTATGACAACCAAAATAACGATTTCAATTTTTGTAGATACATGAACCAGCTACCGTGTAAGTTCCGTTTGAAATCAGTACTTATCTGTATTTCACACGTTTTGCAGGGTTTGAACGTCTACAGCATCCTGCAGCATGATACACTAGTGATGTCCCGTACTGCTGTAAATGAAATTGTTGAGCGGATGCACACTCCAATTAAACGTTGAAGTAAAAGAAGGCTTTTGTTTTAACTCGGGATCGATAGGAACCAGCTTTTGCTTTTGATGGAGCTAAAAGAAGGCCAAAGCTTTTAGCCAAAAAATAATGTGTTGTTTTTGTTACGATATGCAAATTCCGGTGTTGAATATCAGTGAGATTTCGTAGCTTTTAAATTGCTCTACACCTGTATTGTCATGAAGCCGAGTTACTTTATGGGGTCGTCATTATTTTTTTTGGTAATGATTTAACAATTTTCTCTAATGCATCAGATATGAATCATTGTTTCTTTTTCTCTCCTGTTATACCCGATCTCTCTCCTTGAAATATTTGATTTCTTCCAGTAATTAAGTGGGATACCTTGAATTCATTTACCTTCAAAACAAAATTATTTCATTTAAGTGCGTCCGCCTAGTACCGTCTACCATGTCTCATTACAAGATGAAGCAAAATTTTGGCAAGCCACAAAATTGCATGAACGAGATTGGTGTTGCGAAGATACAAATGCAAAACAATGGAGCAATTCTTTAGCTTTCTATCAAACTCTCCTTCCATGCTCGATTCACATCCTTAATCACCTCCAACAAATCACTTTCAATGATCACCTATCTACTTCAAAATTAGCATACATACATAAATTGTAGTAGACTAAATCTTACCATTTACTCATATAATGTCATCCATGTTATAAAAATAAAATAATCACAGTATGAAAAGTACTACTGAATATTGGGAGTAGAACTCAGATATAACTCACTCTCTTTTGTTTCCTCTCACTTTTCCTTTCTTCTCTTCCTTTCTTTCCTCTCTTCTCATTGGTGTGTTTTGCTAAGCAATGAGAAGCCTATTTATAGGCAAATTGGATGGCTTCCAACATCATCATTAAGCTTTTTGAATATTATTTCATTCTTTTCTTTATGTGGGCTCCATCATTTTCTTTACAACAATCCAAAATTTAAGATGGTATTATGAGCATGAAATATCAAACTCCAACCATGAAGGTACCGTGACAGTTAGCGCTCTATCTCCCTCTTTCTTTTTTTTCTATAGCAAAAGGAGGGCCTAGGGTTTATGCTACGGGTTGAGTACACTGGTTTACGCCATTGAAGTTGCTTGCTACATTTCTTTAACACCAAGGCAAGGCTTCCTTGATGCTACAGGTTGTCCAAATTTTAGGGCTTTGAGAGTAAACCGGTTTACGCCATTGAAGTTGCTCCGAAGTTGCTACATTTCTTTAACACCAAGGCAAGGCTTCCTTGAAAATGACCCTCATGGCCAAAACTAGACCGGAGAGAAAGGACTTGGATTCTTACACGATCAGAGGCAACAACAAAGTCGTCAGAGGTAAAGAAAACGAGAAGGAAAACAATAATTTTGATTTTTTTTTGATTTTTTTTTATTTTGCGGGAAGGGAAATGTGTTGAAGAAATGGTGGTTTTGCAGTGGGGGATTGGGTGCTGATGGGCCCATCGGTCACCAGTAAGCCCCCATGCTTGGCATGCATCAAGAAGATTGAAGCCTAGGACGACTGGAGCAATGCGAAAGTGAGAGTGAGGTCGTACTATAGGCCAGAGGAGTCGATCGGAGGGTGTAGAAAGTTTCATGGAGCCAAAGAGCTCCTTGTCTGACCTCTATGATGATCGGAAAGCGCTGACACCGTTGAAGGCAAGTGTAGGGTCCACTCTCTTAAGAACTACGCAAAGCTGGAGAATGTGGGAGCTGAAAATTACTACTGTAGATTTGAGTACAAAGTTGATGCTGGAAAGCTTGCACCAGACATAGTTGCTGTGTGAGTGTCATTTGCTTTCTGGTTGCTTTGGTTTTTTCTCTTTTTTTGGAAGACCTCTCTTATTGAAATGGGCGATAATATATTAAACTCACACACATTACGGACTCGACTTTTCTTGGGGGAGGAATTGACACTACACTAGTGGGTCCTTGCTGTTGCTTTGATTTTTAATTAGTGGAAATGTGGTGTTTATGTGGATAGAATGTGATGGGTTTGTTTATGTCTGTCTGTTTTGAAGGCATTGCAAGTGTGAGATGCCGTATAATCCGGATGAACTCATGTGAAGTGCGAAGGGTCAGGGAACGGTAATCTTTTTTACTTCTTTACTTTCTTTCTCAATGTGTTGCACATTTTTTGAGATCCGAGTTTTTGAATGTGTTGTGTTACTTGAAAATTGTTCGCAAAAGAAACATTAACTAGGTTATCTATCTGCAATAATGGCTCTAACAATTGCAGTCATGATCTTGAGAGCACTTGTTTAGCAGGCATATGCAAACAACATAAGCACTCCATTTGTGTGTATGTTCAATTTAAACAGGGAAATGCTTAGAGAGCTTGTTGATAATTTAGGTCCTGTAGATACTCGAGCAACATCTCCTATTCATAGATCTGTGCCTGCCTTTATACAGTTAGAAAAAAAAAAATTCAAGGGAATTATCTGGTGGCTACTGAATCTTGTTTGGAAGAAAATTTGGGTCCTTTTTGCAACATAATTTGGCTCTACCTTATGTAAATCTTAAATACCCTAATAGACACATGATTTTATTTTACCATTGACGACACATACGTATAGGTATCATCTGCTTGCATTGGCATGACCATTGTAGAAGCAAAAAAAATTTAAAGCTTTGTTTTGTTCAGAATGTTCGTCTAAAGAGGATGTGATTAAGGCCCCAGAGCCACAATGCATTTTCAGGGTCACCAGAAGCTGATGCAAAGGTGCGGCTTATCATGATGGAGTTTTGGTTATTTTATGTTATTCTGAGCTCTTTTCTAATTTCAGTCTCTTTCCAGGAGTCTCTGGCTAGTTTTTCGACTGTGGAGGCCATGGTCTAGCCTGTTGTCCCAGAAAACTCTTCAGTCCCAGACTTTAGCAAATTGGATTTAGATTCGCTCTGATCCACAGGAACGAGGAAGTTAGAGGTCCTCCTCCAACGAAGCTGCCGAATAAGCCATGTTTCGACTGAAAAAATGGAGAGACGAAGGGTTTTCTGTTGAACAAGGCTATTAATCCGTCAATCAGCTGATGGAAGATTTGTGTCTGCTAGCCAAAGAACAGGTGCTGCCTCTACCATTTCTGGAAGCTAGTCTAACTTTTACAGAGGACTTCCAGGATCTGGCTGGACAATGGGCAGCCATTGAGAAGAACTACAAGGAGGCCGAAGTTTACAAGAACTTTCAGCACTAGTGTTCGAGACCTGGAGCAAGAGAGGAAAGCTTGTAGTGTCAAGTATCAACAGCTCCAGCAAGTGAGGACTGAAATTGTAGCTCGGCTTCCAAAACAGTTGGCTAGCTAGCAAAGAACAAGAACACAATCAACTCCATGCTTTTCTGAACTCCGTTGGATTCCGCCTGGACTCTGCAGAGCCAGATTGCTAAAGCTAAGCCTGCCTGATGCCGAAGCTACTCTTTTCAAGGGCAATCATCTCAAGGCAGATGTGTACTCAGAGCTCTCTCATTTCAGAACAGTTTTTATCTAGCCTTGAACATTACTATATGCTTGAATTGTAAAATTTGAAACATTTTCAAAAGTGGAACAGATTTCACTGAACTGCAGCAACTTGTTATTTTGTAATTTGATCAATATGCAATACTTGGACCGTAGTCTGATATCTGATTGCCCCACAAATTTTTAATAGGAAAGTGAGAACTATTAAATTGGCTTACACTTGAGTAGCTCTTTTAATACACAACTTTCTGACTCAAAACTTAGTAAGATTCTAATAACCGCTAGCCGGTTATGACGTTCAGGTCCATGCTAACACTAAAAACATAATCTGCTGCTGTAATTCCAGTAACACCTTGAGTATCCCAAATGGTGGGATATAACTTTTTAAACCATCTGCCATTAATTGGGACCTCCTGCAATGGAACATGTGATTCAAGGGGCAAAGTCATTTCAATTTTCGATCTGAAATTGAGTTAAGGATTATTTACCCCTAAAGGAAATTACATTAGAAATTAGAAATTGAGTTTGTTGTTGACCAAGAAACTCCCTGATTTCTGTGGGTTAGGTGAAAATAACTGCTAATGTGTTACACAACAAATGTCAAATCACTATCAAGAATGCGCACGTGAGTTAAGCTAGTTAGTCAAAACCCGGTCCCTTGCACTCAAGTTCGAATTTCCATCTCCTAGAGAATTAGTTCTAAACGAGCTCTTAGACTATTGAATCAATTGTAAAAAAAAAGTACTTCAAAAATAATAATATTAATATAAAAAAGACTTGAGTGCTGCAGTACCCTCTGAAACATTAGTCAATTCCCACTAAACCCCCATAAAATTAAAGTGACCCATTTTGCCTCATTGACTAATGTTTTGTGTCTCACTTTGCCCCTCACCATTAAATATGTTAAAAATTCTGTTAAAAATGCTGATGTGGCACCAATGGGACCCACTATTTTGCTAAACTAAGTGCCATGTGTGAAGAAAAAAAATTAAAAATTAAAAATTGACTTTTAAAAAACATAATTTAACTATTAAAAATAAAAATTATACTTTAAAATCTGTGTTTTTGGTACCTTGACAACAACCTAGCACAAAACCTTGTTCCCATTTACATCGAATCTTATCAGCGTGCCTAAAATCAGATCTCCAAGCCAAACTTCCATCCATTCTTCTCAAGGAGAAACTCTCCACAATCACATAACAGCCAAACTTCCTCCACCCATTCTCACTTGTAATCTCTTCTACCCTCTCCACTCTCGCATCCATTTCATCCCCATTAACCCATCCTCCCTGCCTCTAAAACTCATCTCATATTCTGAACGATTGCTGAACTCAAACCTACACTCACCACTTTCTTGCTATGTGGGTTATAAGCTTTGAACCAGGTGAACCCGGTACGGCCATTCCTATCGTCCTTCACCATTGTTCAGTATATAGGGGTCTGCTTTCAGTATATAGGGGTTTACCAGTCCGACAGAAGACTGATCTTAAAGGTGAGTTATTTTAAATCAAACCACTCTGCAACAGTTCTTGAAGGGATTAGGTTTTAACATTTGATTATTTTGCAGGGATTTTGTAAAGGCCATAGATGATTTTCATGAGAAGTACTGTATTGGAAAAGGAGGGTTTGGAAGAGTATACAAGGCAGAGTTGCTATCAGGTCAAGTTGTCGCAGTTAAGAGGCTTAACTTTGGAGATTGATTGCTGGAATGTCGTTAAGAGTCTGACAAGCTAAGCCTCTTAACTGCGACAACTAGACCTGATAGCAACTCTACCCGTCCGTTTCGTCGACCTCCAGCGAGGATCCACCCCAATTCCTCTTTTCTTTGGAACACTAATTGATGACTCTTGCATATTCTTACTTGCATATTCTTAGGGAGGGGGCTGAGTTTTGGGTCTGCGAGAGAAGAAGAGGGAGGAGCAGTCGGGGGTGGTTGTGCGGTGGTGATGGCGACTGGGAAGGGATAATGGGGTTGGAGGAGGAGAGTTTGGGATTTTTAGGTTTTAATAATTAAATTAGTTTTTTTAAAGATAATTTTTAATTTTTAATTTTTTTTCTTCACACATAGCACTTAGTTTAGTAAAATAGTGAGTTCCATTGATGCTATGTCAGCATTTTTAACGGAATTTTTAACAGACTTGACGGTGAATGAGCAAAATGAGATACAAAATATCGTTCAAATGGACAAGGTGAGTCTTTTAACTTTAAGGGGTTTAATGAAAATTTACAACTGTTTTAAGGAGCACTGTAGCACTTATGCTTATAAAAAAAGAAGAGACAAAAGCAGTGGGTGTTAAGTTAACTGAGTCTTACGAGTACGCATTTGACTTGACTTCAATCCGTTAAGAAATGGGTCAGCTTGTTATGGATTCGACCAAATGAAATCCGATGCCAAAATCCTAAAAATTTCTTGTACTTTTGACGCGTAGAAATTGTAACCGTACGTTGACAGGGAGAGATTTTACATCAAACACTCCACTGGACTGAAACTTGAGCCACTCTTCCTTCTCCAAATTTCGAAAATGAACAACTTTCTCACCGTCGTCTCTGCTTCTGTAGCTGTCGTCCTCGCCATTATAGCCTCTCTTCCTCTTCTCAAACCCAACCACCGTAAAAATGATAAACTTTCATCATTTCTTTCTTCTTAAAGTTTCAGTTTTGATCTGAAATTTGAATAATTGGATTTTTTTTTATTTTTTATTTTTTGCAGAGTTGTTAAGTTGGAGGTCTCCAATGGCGGACTTGGTGGTGAAAAATGCCAAGATATACACCAGTGACGAGTCTCTCCCTTTCGCCGATTCCATGGCCGTCCGCAGCGGAAGGGTTCTGCGAGTGGGCAACTACTCCTCTATTAAGGTTCACCATTTGCTTCTTTGCCTCGCTCCTTACCTCCCTCCTTCTTAAGAATTGAATGTATTGGTCGGTTTTTGTGATGCTTGTGAGATTGCAGCTCGGAACCAAATATTTGGGCCATAAATTTTGTTGCATTGAATCCAAATATACACATGGAATCATTTTGAAGCTTATATAGCTAGTGGGTAGGTAGGTACCATTGTTATGAGAAAGAAGTTGTGAGAAAGAAAACCTTTTCAAGTTATTCTTATTGCGTGAAACAGTGGAAGCCATGTAAAAAGATGGTGATATTATGATTGCTAGTAGGAGAGTCAAAATGATCGTTTGAGTGGGTTTTTTAAGATTCTTAAAATGGTAATGTTTTAATTTTGTCCGAAAATTTCTGAAAGTAGGGGTTTGAGGGTGACTATATATGATGAAATGTAACTCTCGGAAAATCCATTTTCATTGATGGTCAACCAGAAACTGAGAAGTGTTGTTTCAGGGGGTTTCACTAAATTCTCATGAGGCTAGAGAAACATAGGTACAATTAGTATGATTGTATAACTTTTCTATGTTATAAGAAGCCACATTCCTTATCTTGGTCTGCAAACTGTAATGATCTGTGGTTCATCTTACTATGATCCTCGACTAATGGCTCCTCTGTGAGAATGGTCCATTTACTCAACTATGAAGTGTATTTTCCCTCCTTACTTTTCCAAGAAACTGCGTAATTTTCTGTATGTTTATCTAAACAGCTTGATTGATATTTTGCTGTTATTGTTGACCACTACATTGTTTTTGTCTAATTTCAAAGTTGCCCGTCCTTAGGTTTTGGATGGCCCATTCAGGTGTTGTCTTTTCTATCTTTCTATGTTTCTTTTATCTACTTATATGGATTTTGTGGTCTCTTATATGTATTGTCTTTTCTGTCATTCTGGCAAACCTTATAACCTCTTCATTTGTTGTTAGTTTCCAACAAAGGTACTTAATCCAGTAAATTGTAAAAATACCCTTCCCTTATACATTCATTCAAATGCAGGATATGGTTGGAGATGGGACCAAGGAGTTAGATCTTATGGGAAAAATTGTTGTACCTGGATTTATTGATTCCCACGTGCATCTGATTTCTGGTGGACTCCAGGTATGGCACAAGTGCCATAGTTAAAATTGATCTTGTTTCGAATATTATATGCTCTTTTTGCCCTCGAGAAACTACTGTCTGTAATGAAACAATTAAATTTTTTTTTGGAGGAGAAACATGCTTTATTTCAAGCAAAAGCTATGTAGAACGATGTGGATGGGACATCCACAGACAACTTAGCATAAGAAACAAAACACCAAAACACAATATCTGACAGTAGGAAACACATCATCATAGAACAAACTGAACCACAGCTAACAAATCCGACAGAATAGATGAATAAGGAATCCCCCTGAAGTATACATATACTGATGCCCACAATGCTGACCAACATCCAACTCAACTCAAAAGATCTTCCACTCCCACCCATTTGTAATCCTTAAAATTCTCCTATTCTGCTCCATCCAAATTACCCAAAAGATGGCTAATACCAGACAAATTACCAAAAATATAGCTAACACCAGACTGCCCCACAAGGTTTTGGCTCTCCTCCCCTTCCCCAAAGCCTTGAAATGAATGCTGAACCACTCGAAAACCCCATTACACATCAATTGTTCAAGGCTTGAGTTCCTTGCATCGTGCATCTTCCATTTCAAACCGTTGTTGAAGTGTGTTACATATTTGAATTTTTATTTTTTCTAGATTTCAATTCGATTCTTTGGATATGCCATTACGTGTTTGTGTGTGTGTGTGTGTGTGTTTGTGTGTTCATTTATGTGAAAATTTCAATAAATCTGTGAACTACCTGGCTTGAACTAGTTTGAACACTCAGGTTTGTACTGTCGGGAAATCTATAATGTCTGAAACTTTCATTCAACAACTTCAATGCTTCACGAGTATTTAAACTGTGTTTCCAACCTTCCATCTATTTTATTTTATTTTTTTTTTGCAAAATTTGTGTAACATAAACTTTGTACAATAACCAAAAGATTTATTATTTATCTATTTTCCTTTGCTTATTGAAGTTTCTATATATGCATTTGAAATGTTCCTGATTGGAAAACAGATGGCGCGTGTGGAACTACGAGGCGTAAGTCAAAAAGATAAATTTGTGAGGCGGGTCAAAGAAGCAGTGAGAAGTCAGTTCCCTGCCTTTTTATAATTTTCTCAATTTATCGTGCAACTTATAGACACAGGAATGTCATGGCTAGACATGTCTATTCGTATTCTTGTTTGAGTTAGAAAAATGCACAAAGTATGTGCCAAAATCTTTGATTGTTCTTTTTTGAAGGTTTGGCTGTGAAGTCCTAATGTAAAATTGTTACAATTCCAGTTGTTATTCAAGAGTTAGAGACTCTTCTCCCAAGCTTTAGGATGGGCAATATGGAAGCTCCATAAGTTATTGTAAGAACATATATGAAGCAGACAGGAGTTAAATTCAAACAATTAAACTGGCCAAATGTTAAAGGTCATAGAATAAAAGGTAGGGCGTTTCATTTAGTGAGAAATATTAAACCATTAATCACTCTTCTTTATGTGCTTGTTGATCACCATTTAGCCTGCAAAAATAGTTCTGGAGAGGGAGTATTTATTGATGATGACTACGACTAACAATCTGATATAAATCACTTTTAATTATGAAAAGCAGTTGTGCAGACAGAGCATCATTGGCAATGCCTAAAATTCTTATAAAATGGATGTTCTGAAATAGCCATTGAATGTTTCCAAAATAAATATTATTGTGTTTGTTAAATTGTATAGTCTTTTGAAATCTCGTATTTGAAAGAAAATCAAATGAAAAATCAGATACAAATCAAGGTTCCTGGATTTTGGGTGGTGGATGGAACAATGATCTTTGGGGAGGGGAATTGCCAATGGCCTCTTGGGTTGACGACATCACACCTTACAATCCTGTAAGTCATAACCAAATGAATTTCGGGTGCTTTGATAGTTTTCACAATAGTGTTTTTATTTCATTAATATACATTATTTTACAGGTTTGGCTGTCGAGGATGGATGGCCATATGGGCTTGGCTAATTCAGTTGCACTCAAGTTGGCTGGGATTACAACTTCATCAGAAGATCCAAATGGTGGAACAATTGTGAGATTCACCAGCGGAGGTATTGTTTAACTGCGTTCATATGTCATAGATGCTTTCAGTGGGCCATCCTGAATCTTTTCAATTCTTTGGATATAACAACCGACATAGAAGTGTTGAGGGTGTTGGATATTTGTGGACATGACATTTTTGTTACCCATGTCCCAATAATTTCCTTGATTTATTCAAGAAGATTGCAAAAGTTTTAAGTCTTTCTGTAAAAATGGTAAATTACAACAAGAATACATAATTATTTACTACTAGTGGCCCTTAATTAAAAAACATGCATGGCTGTGTCCCTTACATGTTTTGGGATTTCCATATTTGACAACCCATATCAAGTTATAAAATGACATGCATATTGTACCTACAAATCATAGTGATTGAATTGACACTGGAGTCACAATTAGGACCTATTTATATGGATTCTGACAACCTTTACATTAGGAAGAAGCCTTGGACAACTGTTGGATAGATTTTATTTTTTTTCTTTCTAAAAAGAAACCTGAAATTTATTAACAACTATGGAAGTAGGATGGATAAGAAGTTCATCATATCCAGATCTACACCTCAAGCGAGCATTTATTACATTCAATTCAAAACTCTCCCGAGAGAGATGAATTGCACTACAAGGGATTATCACTCTAAAATGATGACAAAGACATATGAGAATCCTTTTTTCTTTTTTCTTTTTTAAATCTAAAAGTAGATTGAATTTGTCCGCCTTTTCATCTATTTTCTGGTTGTTTCATCTTTAGATAAGTAACAGCTACCGGGAGAAATTACTTATCATCCAACTCATCGTTATGCAGAACCTACTGGATTGCTGATTGATTCTGCAATGAAACTTCTCCTTCTATCCATTCCGGAGGTGTCAGTAGAGGAGCGGAGGGAAGCTTTGAGTAGAGCCAGCAATCATGCCTTGATGAGGGGTGTGACAACAGTTGTTGATGTTGGTAGATACTTTCCTGGGGCATCGGTGAAGCATTCCTGGGAAGATTTTTCAGGTTTGCATTATGTTTCTTAAGGGTTTCTTTGGATGTCTTGTGAGTTGAAACATTATTCTTCTAGTTTATTGGTTCACTTGAATTCATTGGTCATGTTAAGGAATCACCATTGTCCTTACCAAACTGATGACAAAACTTAAGGCAATTCTTAAATGACCTGTTGTGATCAAATATTAAGAATTTAAAACGATATTCTCAAAAAAGATGAGTGTCTAGTTAGATGATTTATTACAACACAAATTTATTACATCCTAAGAACAACAAGATGCACCCATACTGATATTAATATTTTTAATTACTCATGCTGCTTAAAATGTTTTTTTTTTACTTTTTATTTTTCTCATTTTATTACTTATTGCAGATGTTTATAAATGGGCTGATTCTTCAGGGAAGATGATGATTAGGGTCTGCTTATTTTTTCCATTGGAGACTTGGTTACAGTTACATGTATGAGTTCTTATAGGTTTCTTCTTTGGAGTTTAATATTACTTCAATTTATTCTCAACCTGATAGTGTTAAAGTATGATTGTTCATATGTTTGGCCTTTATGTTGACATATTAACGATTCTCCTTGTCAATGTGTTTTACAGAGAGCAATTATTTTAAACATTTTCAGCAATTGCACTATTATTTATTTATTTAACTTTTTCATATTTTTTCCATATCAGAAATGTGTGTGAGTTAATTATCTATACTCTTCTTTTCCTTCCTGCAATGAAGACTTTTGACATTGCAGCTTTTGTGTTTCATACATAAGTAATTCTGGATTCTTATATCTCTTGTTTGAACAAGTGGAGATGTCAAGTTTTTGCATTGGACAACTTACTTTCTAGAATATTCTGTTTTTATCTAACGAATCTAGTTATGAACTGCATTAGATGTTTCAATTTTGTTGTCATTTATTTTTTCTCTTAGAGTTGTATTTTCCTTTTCAGAATCTTATTACCAAAGTTGGCCGTACCATGAGCCAATGGATTTACTTGGGTGGTGTTAAAGCTTTTGCTGATGGGTCGTTGGGTTCTAATAGTGCACTGTTTTATGAGGTGAGAACGATGGTACTTGGGCATCTGCATTTGTTTTTAGTAAATTAAGAATAAAAACTTTGAAATCCATTGACTATGGCCAATTCCATTTATTTTTGTATATCTTTGTTGTGTCTCTTGCTATTGTTGTTGAGAAAGGGGAAGTGTCATTGGCAAGTTAGGAATTTTTTGTAGTGAGCTTATCTAATTTGCTTCATACTGTTGCTTCCTCTGTGATAGGAAGTAGCTTTTTTTGCTTAGCCAGTCAATATATTGTTTTCCTAATATTTCTCTTTTATATCTGTAGCCATATGCTGATGAGCCTCATAATTATGGCTTACAAGTGATAGATAATGAAAGTCTCCTCAACCTGACCTTGGCTTCAGATAGAGTTGGGCTTCAGGTGTTGTCTCATCTCTTTGGAACTGTCCCTACATGACGTAAATGTACTCGTACTACTAAAATTTCCTTTACATTGTGTTCAGGTTGCTATTCATGCTATAGGTGATAGAGCAAATGACTTGATCCTTGACATGTATGAGTCAGTGTTTTCTACAAATGGAGTGAGGGATCGAAGATTCAGGGTAAAGATTTTGCTCACGCAACGATAATGGCTCAGCAGCAGCATAAATTTTCACAGGTTTTTATTATTTCCTTTTAGTTATTGTTTTGCATGACGAAGGAAAAAATTGCTTTCAGATTGAGCATGCCCAGCATCTGGCACCTGAGACACCAGCCCGATTTGGTAAACTAGGGATTGTTGCTTCAGTACAGGTTTGACCGCACTAGTCTGTTTATATTTATTTATTAATCTTTCTTAGGGTAATGGGGCTGCAAGCACAGTGATTTGTGGGAATTATTTTGTAATGGTTCAAAGTTCATGTTTCAACAACATTCTGATTATTTGCATCCAAGCGGACCTACCTTTTCAGACTGCTACCATGTTTATTTCTGAGTGTGTGTAGGAATTTGGGATAGGGGACTTCTACTGGTTAAATTTTAAATACAAGAGAGAGGTGTAGATTTATACACACTTCGTGTGGGATCACATATTACCATGCTTGCATAATGACACTTGGATCACTTTCTGCATAGGGATGAAGTCTTTTCTTCTTGCATACACAGGCTGCCTGACATTTGGGCAAAGTTTTTATTTTATTTTATTTTAAAATGTCTTCAGTGAATGAGCTCCCTTTTCCTCTTTTATTTTATTGTCATTTTTCTTTTCCCCTTTTGGCTTAACAGTTCTCAAACCTCTGAGTGATTATCATTATTCTTTGTTCCTGTGCATAAATTTAATTTTAATTACATACTCGAACACCAATTCCCCATAGCCAGAGCACCTATTAGATGATGCTGAGTCTGCAACAAAAAAACTTGGGATAGATAGGGCTCAGAAGGGATCTTATTTGTTCCGGTCTCTCTTGGCTAGCAATGGACAATTGGCATTTGGTTCTGACTGGCCTGTAAGTATAATGACTCTCATGGATATATTTTTTAGGCCTAAGTATCGCAAGGCTCTCTGATACTTTTTGTTTAGTGTGATATGTTTTGTAAATTTCAGAATGGTGCTGTTTTTGCAGGTGGCAGATATTAATCCATTAGGTGGCATTAAGACAGCAATGAAAAGGATACCCCCTGGTTGGGATATTGCTTGGATTCCCTCAGAGACCCTTTCATTGAATGACACATTGAAGGCGTAAGCAACATTGAAACATTTGATCCTAGAGATATCATCTATTTTTAGACTGCTATTTAGGTGACTCACATTCTTTGATGTGCGAAGCCCATATCCAAAGTCACTAAGAATGCGCCAAGTTAGCTAACCAGACAGCTGATATACTTGTGGTGAAGGCCCATTCGAATGGGCCTTGTCTGCCTGTGCCAGTTTCTGACATAAAAGTTCACTGGTTTATAATTGTTGAGGGCAAACCCTTTTAATCTCAACCATATTTGGTTGGTAGAATTTTCAGAAATCTTCTGTTACCAGGGCACTCTCAGGTGAAACAAAAATTTAGGTAATCTAGGAGTTGTAATTATTTCTATAACCCCCGGGGAGGGGATCGGGTGTGCTGTGTTCAGCTCAAAGGGATAAGACGCTGTCAAGATTTGACGGATGATGGGGTTGGATATTGGAAAAGAAATTACAAGCTCTCTGGAAAGGGCAAAGAAGTACATGCTGATGGTGGTGAGGAAAGAGCCACCTGTGACCATATCACTTACAACAAAGCCTATATGAGTAGAACTCATATTGTACTTTCTCCTGTCTCCCACCATTTATGTTTGGGTAGTTTTAATTTTCTTGTAATTGTTGTGGCCATCTGACTGGCCTGAAAGAAACGGTCATCATGCTTACCTAGTATTTTATTTCATAAAATGATTTGTTCTGATTTACTCTTTTCATGGTAGTGGATGCTAAGCTGATTAGATAGTGTCCAGCGCTAGACAAATAGAGTGAGGAACCAAATTTGTTTCTTTCCAATATGTTTTTTTCATTAGAGGGACGGTCTTTTTCTCTTAATTAGTAGTTCCAGTTCATTTATCGATTTCTTTGTTGCTTTTTCAACTGATCAACGTTGCTTTGTTGTGTTTCAACTCACACTTGCCACTGTGCAACACTTCCACCTGATACATGGCAGGTTCACTCTTTCAGCTGCTCGTGCATGCTTTCTTGACAGCGACTTGGGGTCCCTGTCGCCAGGGAAACTAGCAGATTTTGTCATACTGTCCAGGGACTCATGGGATGATGTCGTGGTTGAAGGATCTGCATCCATTGAAGCTACATATGTTGGTGGTGTACAGGCCTATCCCTGAAAGCCTATAATCTTGAAGATAAATTACACTTTCTACAGAAAACATAGGCTTAAGACAAGAGGGAATAGCCCAACATTTTAGGTTTATATAGTGAGCGGAAGTAGTATGCATATGATGTCTTTTGAAAAGTACTCTAGAAGATGATGTAGTCTATATGAGGGATCAAAGGTTTGTATGATTTGCACAATATAACACATTGAGCTAGGAAACGTTTCAGATTCTGCTTGAAAATCAACTTTTGTACGCCTGTCTTTCACTTTTTTTCTTCAAAAGAAAATTGATGGGGTAAGTGACTGTTTTTAACAACTTGAATGAAATGTGAAGAAACTTGACAGTAAGCGATAAATTCGCTATTCGTAATAGTTTGAATAATAATTATTCTAAAAAACACAAAATTTAGGGGGTAAATTGAAAGTGACCTACTAGCTAGGTGATCCGACCCCTATCACTTTCCATTTTCCCATTTAGCAAAAGTAAAAAGATGGTAGGTCCTAGTTATTTAAATAAAAACTAAAAATCAAAATTTCTTCCTGGGTGTCCCTAGAATACCCCTGTCAAAATACTTTTGTCTTGTGTCTCGTGTGGCCGTAACGATCGAAAACGGTAAGATATAAAATCGGTCCATTTCAAAACGCTGGTATATAGGCGCCTTTCTGATCTAGCAAAGCAAGTCTCTCTTTCTGTCCTGCTCCTTTTGTAATTGGAATTTAGGGTTCTGAAGATCTGACGAGGTAATTTTCTTCTGCAGTTCTTGTTTTTCCCTCTAATTCTCTCGTTCAAACCAAACAGTGCCCTAGGGTTTCACTTATTTGAATTTCCACGATTTTAGTTTATTCGATTTGATTTTGTCTGAAGTCTGGGTCGGATTTATTCTTGATTACTGTTGTTATCCTCTTTACGTGCTTCGTCAATTTCATCGTTCTTGTAATGGCTTTGTTCTTGGAATTATTAAGTGGAAGAATTGGATTAAGTTCTAATTCAGTTCTGTTATGTTGTTATTAGCATAATTGTTCCGTGGTGTATGATTATAGTGATTTTCGGGAGCATATTTTCAGGGTTTAGAAGATGAACAACCCTGCTGGAGGGCAGTCCTCAAAATCGAAAGCTGGATCCTCGCAGCCATCCGAAACTTCATTTAAGCGAAAACGGGGAGTGTTTCAAAAAGAATGTATGTATGGTCGTTGTGTTTAACAGAAACTCTATGCTAATTTAGCCTTTCTGGGTGTTATTCATAAATGTTTATGTTGTTCCTTTTCTGTATGTTGCAGTGCAGCACATGATGTATGGTTTTGGAGACGATCAAAATGTATGTAGCACTATCAAATTTTGAGAGTTGAGTCTTTTCTCAGTATGTCATGTGATATTTATATAGATGACACTAATTTGGATATTGGCATGTAGCACGTGGTTGTTGTGGTCTCTTTGGAACTGAGCCTCTGGTTCTGTTCTTCTTTGGTTTCTTTGGTTAATAAAATTGACTGATCAGGAAAGAAATTGTTTTCTGTTGCTTTCAGCCTCTTCCAGAAAGTGTGGCACTTATGGAAGATATTGTTGTGGAATATATCACAGATTTGGTAAGCATTTCTCAGAGGTAGTTACTATTTACCATGCTAATGAGATGCTATGCCAGATATTAAACCCAACTATGCAACATTTTTGCAGGTACATAAAGCCCAAGATATTGGATCAAAGAGGGGAAAGTTATCAGTTGAAGATTTTCTGTATCTAATTCGCAAGGTATCATATAAATTTGTTTCCATGCTACCATGAGACAAAAGATCTTCTTTCTAAAGAGATTCTATTCGGAACTACTATATGTCCAAGGTCCAATATTGAAATAATTTCAGATGTTTTCCTCGACTTTGTCCGTGTCACTGCATAATTTGGTTGTGTGGGAATTTTCTTTTTTGCCACTTGGATTCATGTTCTGGATATTAAAAGTGAGTTACTTTTAACCAATTTGTCAATAGTTTTTGTTTCACTAGCCTCAGCTCACTTTATTGAGGGGTTGCTATTCCTCGTGCTTTTGACTAACACCATAGGAAAAAAAAGGAGATGAACATGACATGATACGATATCGTGTTATCTTGGCATGAGATGACAACACTTTCATTAATTGACAGCTTGAAACTAACTCAGCTCATTTATTACATTACTGCACGTTGAAGTTATTTTCAGAAGGTTATTTTGTGATTTACATGGTTATTTTGCATTAATTCTTGCCAATTTCACGTTAGTTTCGTGCCTTTTTTGTGTTATTTTCATCCAGTTTCAATTTTTTTGTCAATTCTGTGTTGTACATGAATATATCATGATACTATATCGGGTCAAAAAAGTCCTGACACAAAGTTGTTGTCTCATGTCAATTCCATGCCAATTTGTTGTATCTAACAGAGTGTTTAGAAATTGCCCCCTAACCTTCGGGTTGACTATTTAGGAAAAGCGCATTCCTGTTGTGATTACATTTTATGGCTGGCCTCATATCAGTATGCTAATAGTAATAAGAATACTCATGTGATGTTTTATAGCCCATCTAACAACTTTATTACACTCCCACTTGTTTTTTGTTTGAAAGTTTATCAGAATAGTCTGCAATGTAACTTTCTTATTTTACAATGTACATTGGAATTACTTGGATAATATGAAAGCCTTACCTGGCATGTTGCTTCTAAAAGCATGGGATAAATGATAGTTAAAATGTGATTTGTTATTACGTTCTTTCAGCTGATGTAAACACTAATGTAAATGTGGTAAACTCTCCAGGACTTTCCGAAACTTAACCGCTGTAGAGAATTGCTGTCTATGAATGAAGAGCTGAAGCAGGCGAGGAAGGCTTTTGAGACAGATGAAGAGAAGCTGAGGAAGGCTTTTGAGACTGATGAAGAGAAGATGAGGAAGGCTTTTGAGGCAGATGAAGATAAACTCGGGTCAACGGAGTGACATGGGAGTATTTCTACTTAAACTTGTCTCCTGGTGATCATTTTCTTTAGGGAAATCGGTCGTGTTTCACTTAATCTTAGCCATTTAGCATCCAGGATTAGATAGCAGGATTCAGGGAAGATCCAACACACAACACTTGGCAGCATTCTGATGTTGCAGATTGGCATGTTCATCCGGCGTGGTTTTACAAGTTTCCCAAAGCTTTTTTTTTCTCCTTTTTCATCAACCTTTGTAGCAGATTGGCATATTCATCTGGTGTGGTTTTCCTTTTAAATAGTGATGATATAGTGTGGATAAGTTGCATTTTCTATAAACATATGTGATCAGGCTCTTCACATTGAACCTACAAAAAATCAGTTCGTTTTACAGAGTCCAATTTCTTCCACAAATGCTGGGTCATATCAAATCATGCTAATTTGATATCATAAAAATAAAAATAAAAGCAGAAAGTGTAGCATAGTCCATATTGTGCACGGCTGTTGTTAAACATTTTCGTACGTACCCACATTATTATTAGGAAAGCGGAAAAAAAAAAAAAAAAAAAAAAAAAAAGAAAAAATTTTTAAATTTGAAATTGATGAAATAAACTCTCCAAGCTATTGAAACTTAAACATAACCAAACATATGTACAATTCAAAAGAAAAGAACTCTTTGGCCCCGTTTGGTTCATGGAATGAATTTGAGGGGAAATCATTTCCCATGTCTTTCCCCAAGGAATGGGAATAGAAGATTCCTTTCCCACGTTTGGTAATGCTAGGAAAGTAATCGGGAAATATCACTTTATTTCTTTTCCCATGTTTGTTTTGAGTAGGAATTTTGTATACCCATATTAAATCAAATAAAAAAAGAATGCATTTAATTATAGGGTTTTTCGCAGCAATGGTCCCTTAACTATACCCGGTTTTGCATTTGGGTCACTGAACTCAATTATTAGTTGCAAAGGTCACTCAACTCTGCGTGTCGTTGCACCAGTAGTCCTTCCGTCAAGTCCGTTAGGTTTTTCCGTTTAAAATGATGACGTGGCAAGCATATGTGAGAATCTCTTAGATTCGTCAGGGGCAAATTTGTCTTTTGATGTCTGGCATGTCCAACCTCCCATCTCCCTCCGAAAAATGCCAAATCTGGCGCCAAATAAATCCCCAATTCCCATTTATATTTGAAGAAAGCCACATAAAAACAGTAGATGTGCTGAAATTTTGGAAATTGGAAGGAAATCTGGGAAGCCATTTAAAGGGAAATCTGGGAAAATGTCGCAGATTTCTTCTTCATCAACAAACCGAGCCTTAGTGCGAGGAAGCTATGCAGGTGCGGTGGATATATCAAAACTTGGACTTTATGGACTGATTTAAATCCTGGGAGAATATTTGAGGCTTGTGAGATGAGTCGAGTAAGTTAATCTGTGAAATTTTATTTTGTTGCTTGATGGGTTTAGCTTTGATGTTATGAAACGTACTTTGCAGAGAAACAGAGGAAATGAGCATCATTGGGAGTGGCTGGACGCACCGACCTGTGCAAGAGGAAAAGAACTAATTCCTGGGTTGCTGAGAAGAATGAGAGCAATGGAAGAGGACCTAAAGTTAATAGAAGAACAGAAGAAAGAAGTGGAAGATAAGCTGAAAATGGTGGAGAGAGAAAAGAAGGAATTGGAGTACGAAGTTGGACAACTATGTAAGCAGAAAAGACTGTTGGAAGAGAAAAGAACAAGCCAATGACCAAGAGATAATCAGATTTGGGGGGTTTCATTTCTGTCATTGGTTCTTGGGTTTTTGGTGATTATGATGATGCTCTGTGTCTTGAGCAATTGGTTGACATTTCCAGGTGGAAACTATGAAAAGCTTATGATGAATTAGGTGGAAATGTAACCGATATGTAGGTCATTTTGCAATGAAATTTGAGTTCGAGTTTGGTGGACATATTGGTGTTAGTGTATTGAAATTTTGCAATGAAATTTGAGTTCATTTTGCAATGAAATGTGATGATGCTCTGTACCAAATCAACAATTATAACACCCAGTTCCAAAATGTACCAAATGAACAGTTACAACACCCAGTTCCAAAATGTACCAAATGAGCATATATAACATCCAGTTACAGCTTCCAAAATGTACCAAATCTGGTTCCAAGTGAAACTGAAGCATAATGTATCAAATGTACCAAATCAGGTTCCAAGTTATAGCTTCCAAAATGTACCAAATGTACCAAATTGTACCAGTTCAAGTTCCAAAATGTACCAAATACAAAACAATGACATCCAGCCCAGAGACACATCTAACAAACCATTCATAAAACACATCTAACTAT